CCCCCCCCATTCACATTATAACGTTCATATTTGTTAAGACCAACTGACCAAGCCAAGTTGGTGTAGAGCAATGAGGTACAATAGACATATAGTCAAACCTTTGAACGTCCCATTGGAATAGAGGGGTAGAGGAGTAAAGTAGTAGATGAGAAAGGAGGCATAGAAAAAGAAGTATAGAGGAATAGAGGAGTAACAGAATCCTCTACCCCTCTATTCCTCTTCTCCGGATTCGAATCGTTGTGATTCGCACCCCAGGCCAGCACAATACCAAGTGAGCCAATGGTGCGAACGACAGAGGCAAATATGCCCACAATATGGTCGCAAGTACAAGGGGGCTATCCCAAAAAATACTGATTAGAGAAAATCGAAGGTAAAGTTTTGGCCCTTTGTTCAGTTTCTTTTAAAGACAATGGGAGTTTTCTCTATAATCAAACGAATATACACACCAATGAAACCAAACTTCTCCTATAGGTAGGGCAATATCCACTTTTGGTGTAGGTCAATATATATTTCTGGAAACCGCCTGAAATCTGGGTTAGCCCGCTTGTCCTTAAAAGCGACCATATATTAATGACTTGGTTATAAACAGGTCAGTGTCCCATTGAGTAAAACGCCCTAATACTAATAGCCTAATTATAGTGGAGAAAAACGTTGCTTTCCTACGACGCTATGTGACAATTTTTGTTGGTTTGATTGAGCCTTACGACAAGCTAGATGCAACCAGGACATGACGTGTTGTGTGAGGTGTTTGTTTGTTTTAGTAAGGTTTTACGGTGCTCGCAACACAGTACGGTCATATGAGCGCCGAAGATTAGAGGTGTTACAAGAGAGTAACAAACACAAAATAGAATGAGGGGAGATAAGGACGATAGATGTTTGATAGGAGGAAAGAATGAGCAAACCCCAGCAGAGCACCCGCCAACCACCCACAGCGTTACAAGAGAGTAACAAACACAAAATAGAAGGAAGGGAGATAAGGGCGATAGATGTTTGATAGGAGGAAAGAAGGAGCAAGCCACACCAGAGCACCCACCAACCTGTGTGAGATGTGAAGAGAGGAAACGTTTTTCTGTTCGCTAACGTGAAAGAAATGGACATCCGCGAAGCGAAAGTTACAAAATCATGCATACGAAGACAGTAAAAATATAATGTCAGTTATCTCTGATGACTCAAGAAAATACTTTTTTAAAAATCCCAATATTGAAGTGGACACGCGCTCACATACGATGTCACATGCATCTCAACACAGATTCTTTAGTTTGATTCAGAGACAAAGAAAAGACAACTTTATTTCTTTCCCATGGAACATTGTTCACAGAGACTCATAACAAGAAGAGAAAGCTTTTACAAATTAAAGAAATATCGCGACACCCCC